TGCACTCTGAGAACTGAAGCTATTTTTATGCTGTTTTAATGGCCTCTGGTACAACTCTGGTTTTCTTTTCTTCTCTTAGCATTTAGTGTAATACTGCGTAAGAATAATGGCTGGTTACACAAAAGATAGTTCTTTTGTAACGTAGAAACATCTCAAAATCAGACCAGATTGAAACCACCTAGCATTATAAATTAAAATTTATTAGGTGCACATATGAGGGAAAATATGGAACTGCTGATTACGTGACACCTATTCCAGCGTCCATGATTTTGAATGGAACGTTGAAGTTATACGTCTACCTCAAAACTGATCCAGGGAGGAGAGAAGTGTTGAATGTTATTGACCTGAGGGTAGTCCAGCGAGAGAAGAAACCGCACAGATTGGCCGTTTGTACAGGTCCAGTCTGGTTTTATGCAGAATGGACTATTCTTCCATTTTTTTTTGAGGTAAACTTCAACCATGTATTCTGCTTCTAAAACTATTTCAAGAGAAGGTGAGATACCATAGTCTTCATTATTCCGAATTTATTTCACCACTTCTTTAAGTCCACTGAAGCCGCTTCAAAGTCTTTGCAAGCTGAAATTTGCTCCTTTTTGCTCAAGCTGAAAAAGTCAGAATGCTTATAAATGGCGGAACAAAAGAATAGTGTAGAGTCCGGCGTCTGCTGCCTTAATTTTCCTTTTCGACTGATTTCCGCAGGAACTTTCTCCAGCACCTCAAAATTAGCAAAGGCCAATAAAGGCAGTTCTCCTGCTGTCGTTTTCTTCGCTTACTGTCCTTCACAGTTCTTTCTGTTACTTATTTTAGATTCGCTTAATTATTAATTTACAGACGTGGATTGCGAACGGCGCAACGAAATTTTATTTTTATGTCAACAGCATTACGAAGGAGGTTGACGGAATTTTTCGTATTTACGAAAACGACCAAAATATCAGTGTAGAACGTGTGCAGTGGAATCTATTTCCTACTGACGAAGATGTTTCAGATGAACAAAATCCTAACAATCTTATATATGTTGGAGCAGTAACGTTTTTCGCTGTACACAGATTTTCAGCAAGGAATCTCGAAGCATTCAAGCTTCAACTTTATTTGGTTCATAATCTCCTCTATCTAGCAAGTCTTCGTATGGAATGACTGTATTCTCCGATCTAAAGGAAACGCCGATTATTTGGCATTATCAGATTTTGATGAAATTTTTGTGGCATTTGATAATCGCACGCTGTTGTCGGCTCTGGACAACCAGTTAAGGGAAAACAAAGATATTGCTTCCATTATGTTTCAGAGCACATATGGAGAAACATATGTCAGTTAAATGAAATTCGCTTATACTTTTCAGTACATAAAACGATTCTGAAAGTCTAATTGGAATACCAAACTTGTTCCTCTAAGAGACTATTGTTTTTGAAATCCTCCCAAAGTTATTCTGACAACTTTGCTAAAAATCAAATTCTTTTAGTTTTTTTGAGTGAGAAAAAAAGGGCTTTATTAATATTAGTGTGCAAAATAAATGACCTTTAGCTGTGTATTAAAATTCAGGAAAATTATTCAAATGTGACACATCCAACGCAAATCCTATTTGATAACTACAAGAACATCTCAACAAGAAATAAACCTTACCCACCAAAGCGTGCCAGTAAGGTCTGCCGCTCAAATTGAGAATTTCATTTTTTAGCTTTGGTGAATTAAAAAGTAGATTGCAAATTTCAAAAATTCAGTTATTTTTTTTTTAAACTTTAAGGTAATAGTTATTCCTGAAAGAATTTTATCACAGCACGTGCATGAGACAATAAGAACAGTCGAGCCGTATCAAAAAGTAATCATGGATCCAAATATTAGTCAGTTTTATCACCTCAGGTAATTACCATCATTTTTTCCGACCTCAAAAGTCATTTGAGTCGAATTCAGCAAACTAATCTTTTTTGAAAATTTTCTGTGTTAGTCATTAGAGATAAAAATATTCTTAGCGACCCTGTGCTTTCAAATTCGTTC